TCTGATGAAGTTCACATTCCATTTGTATCATTTTAAAATTGAGCTTCAATTTTGATCGTTCCCAGGGTTTTTTTTTAACTGTCAATCAAATGATGCACATCTACGTCACACTGTTTGGCCAAACCTCCTCCCCCATCAGCCTCGGACGATGGCAATGGCAAGCCCCTAAGAACAATGCTTAGCAAGAAACCCTGAGATAGGTTAGCCTTGGAGGGAGTCACACTCTCTCAGCCATATAATAATATAATAATATAATCTCTCAGCAATATAATATGTGTGTGAGAGCTTTAGGGGCTCTGTAGACTGCACAAAGCACTGTCTTGGAGCCAGGGAAGGGGAAGCCACATGCCTGGCACCCCAAACCTTTCCGGAGGATGTCATCAGAGCATGTGCCGTTGCACACGGTGAGCACTCTGATGATGTCCTTCTGGCGCAGCGTTGTTGTTATCTGGTTTCATGATTTATTATTTGATGCTTTTGTTATTCTGCTGTTTTTAATACTATCTTAGTTTAATTTATTTTTAAGGGGTGGGAGGGTTAGGGGGAGTAACTTGATCGATGTGTTTTACTCTTCTGTTGTTTTAACTTGTTGTACATCGCCCCAGTTGCTTAGCAGAGGGGTGGTTTATTATTATTATTATTATTATTATTATTATTATTATTATTAGCATCTGAACATGTTGCACTGGAAGAGGTGCAAAAGAGCCGCATGGTGGCTCTTCGGGCACCCTTTTTGCCGCCTGGGAAAGGAGCACTATTTTGGCACTCCTTTTGCAGGTGCCAAAAGGGAGGATTGGGGATGAGGCATGGGGCAGCCTTAGCCCAAATCTTCTGCTTCCCAGGGCAGCCCACTGCCACCCATCTGCATCCCCCCCTAACTTTACACCAACGTGGGAGCAGAGTCTGTTGTGGTTTTATTTCTTGGGAAAGAGGAAAAAATGATCCCTAACCCCCAGACCCACTGATAGGGTTGGTTTTTTTTTTAAACTGCCAAGCAAATCATGCGTACCTTTGTCATACTGATGACAAGAGTATTTAAAGGTGCTGTCTGAGAGAGGACTACAGACAAAAAAAAAATTTTGAGAGGGTGAACAAACTCAGACTAACTGATGCAGAAAAAAAAAATGTGGCTCAGACCCATAAGCAAGAAATGGCATGAATACATACTGTGCCTAAACTCTAAGGGCCTCTACAGACTTTGGGTTGTCAACCCCTCCCTGAAGACATCATCATGGCGCACGCTGCTATGCATGGCACATGCCATCAGGATGTCCTTCTGGTGCAGTGTTTTGACATGGCAGCTCTTTGGCCGCCCTATTTGCTGGCTCTGAAAGGAGCAGCATTTTGCCGCTCCTTTCAGGGCCAGCAAGAGGGAGGATTGGGACTGAGGCATGGGGCAGCCTTGGCTCCGATCCTCCACTTCCCAGGGCAGCCCAGGGCCACCCATCTGCATCTCCCCTTAGTCTGCATCTGCACTGCAGAAATAATGTGCTTTAACTGCCATGGCTCAATGCAGTGGCATCCTGAGATTTGTAGTTTATTGTGGCACCAGAGCTCTCTGAAAGAGAAGGCTAAATATGTCACAAAACTACAAATACCAGTATTCCATAGCATTGAGCCATTGCAGTTAAAGTGGTGTCCAACTGCATTATTTGTGCAGTGCAGATGCAGCCCCTGAGACACATGCAAGACATGCTAAAGTTGCTACCTCTACCACAGATGAGGGAGGGAGATCAGTGCCAACAGGCTTCCCTCTTCCTAGCTGCCATCAAGCAGCAGCCATTCCATAAATATGAAATGGCAGGGATGAATCAGCTCTGCTGAGAGAGACCAACTCCAGTTGGCTTCTCCCTGTATTGTCACTGAGCAAAAACTAGAAAAATGAACATGGCATAATGGTTTGAGCATTGGGATATGGCTCTGGAGACCAAGGTTCAAATCCCCACTCAACCATGGAAACCCACTGGGTGACCTTGGACAAGTCACATTCTCTCACTCTCAGAGGAGGCAAAGGCCCTCTGAATAAGTCTTGCCAAGAAAACTCAATGATAGGGTCACCATATGTGAAAAACAACTTGAAGGCACACAACAACAACAACAACAACAACAAATGATTAAAAAGAGGGTGAAATGGGGCTGAAGTGCAGCTCTGCTGAAAGACCAGCTCCAACAGTCTCATACTCTTCCTCAATTGTTTCTATTCCAGTTGGCTGGAAACCAAACTACTTAAAAACTTCTGTCTGGGTTTGCTTCCTCCTTTTCCCTCCTCATCTGATTTTCCTTTGTGATTGTATCGTTTAAACTGTGGCCCTGCAGGCTGGGCCTGTCCTGTGTTTTGTGTTTTGGTTGTTTGATTTTGGTTTTTTATTATTCATTTCATGTAAGCTGCTTGGGAAGCTTCTGTGGCTGAATCAAGGTGGGGCAAAATGCTTTAAAATGAATAAAAACACAGAGGCTGGATGGCCATCAGTTGGGAGTGCTTTCATTCTTTATTCCAGCATGGCAGGTGGTTGGATTGGATGGCCTTTGTGATCTCTTCCAACTCTAATATTCTAATGTTTTAAGAACAGTTAGGGCTCAGGCTCAATTTACACAACTCAATCCTCTGTACACATTGCCCTTCTCTTCCTCCTCACAAAGCTCTTAGCTGAAGCTTGAAAAAATTACTTTTTGACCAATTAAGAATCAAGGAGAAGTGCTGGTGGTCTGGGAACTGTAGAACAAGTTAATTTTGGACTACAATGCTCATTATCCTCCAAGGGGGGATGTGCAAAAAACCCCAAATATTCCAAATCAGTTTGACAGTTTGAAATAGAAAATGCTACATTTGTTTCTTCTATTATTTTCTTTCCAGCCTCTTTTCACTCAGTTGTGGCAATCAACTACTGAATGAAGCAGTGATGTTTGCACATACCGTGCTTTTCACCTTGTGAACAGGTATGCACAACCCAGATGTTAGCATTAGCTCATTGGTCAGCACATCCAAGCGTGTGAAAATGGAAGTGTCATTTTGAAAATATGAATTTCCATCATGTTCTCGCTCTTTGTCAGAAAATAAATATGTATCCAGAAGTGATTATGAGGAGCTGTAATGATGATGGCATTAGGTAAAAGTGATTCACAGAGCCACAGTCTAACAAAATAACACCCACTTGGCTTTGGAGGGGGGGGTTGGAGTTTCCACTGTAGCAAAGAGCGCTTGATAAAACTGTTGACAATAAACACATCCACCTGAGTACAGCTATGCTGTGGAGGCCAGAATGTACTTTCGCTGTGCCAGAGCTGATAATGTTACAGAGAAAAAATATTTGTTCATCAAGGTGACATTGCTGTCAAATCAGATAGGCTAAACTTGTCAAACATCAAAGCAGGAATAATTGCACATTATGGGCCAGCTTTTTTCCCCACTGATTCAGCAAGCAAACTATCAAGAGATGTCTCATTGCACCATCACTGTGAACTAAAATGATTTAGAAGCAAAGCATCCAACCCCTTCATTAGGGCCATCTTTGCTACATCAAAGGCTCACATACATATGTACAAAGGTCTCAAATGCATAGATAAAAGCACATGGAAATTAAGATAACCTGAAGCAACCTGTTTTGCTCTTTCACCCATATTGCTTTTCCCTGTGCCCACAATGAGATTTCACCAATTGATAGTGAACATGGCACATTTTGCAAGAGCATTCCGAGTTTTCAGATTCTCTGAGGAGACCTTTCTTTAGGCATATTTAGTGAAGCTATAAGAGGGGGCCTTCTCAGTGTTCCCCCCCCCCAGGCTATTGAACTCCCTTTTCTTTTCTTGACAGGAGCTAGACTAGACTTGTGGTCCCTTCAAACTCTAAGGAGATTGTCAAACAAACCCTGTTCTCTCTCAACTTTATTGCTTGGTGTTTTAAAATGACTTAAGCCTCCCAGGCTGCAGCCAGGAGGTGGGATGGAGGCAGGGATTATCACAAGCTAAATCACTGCATAATCACCATCCACCATCAGCCCAAATCCAAGCCGGGCTCAGCTGGTGCTTTTTAGAAACCGGGACACTTTCCGCTTTCTAAAAAGCTCCAACTGAACCCCGCTGGGACCCGGGTTGATGGTGGTCGACGATTCAGTGGCAATTTAGCTTGTGATAATCCCCGCCTCCGTCCTACCTCCTGGCTGCAGCCTGGGAGGCTTGAGTCATTTTAGAACACCAAGTGATAGAGTCATCTGTGATCACGTTAATAAAAGGAAATGGATACATACTGGTTTGGGAAATTTCCTTATTGCACATCCCTTCAACAGTGCAACTGGGGCTGTTTCTGCCATCAACAGTCCCTCACATTCTCTTTTGAACTCCTCCTTAACCCTGCCTTCCTGTCCTATGCATGCCATTATTATTATTATTATTATTATTATTATTATTATTATTATTATTATTTGTAACACAATTATGGCAATGTGATTTAATAAAGCAAAGTTGAAAATAAGAAAAGAAAGGAGGGGAGAAAACCAGCCTGTTCAGGAATAGCAAACAATGAAGAGAAGAGGGGGATACTGACTACATGTATCTGCCCAATACTGACTACATAACTGCCCAATGCTGGTACTGCTGCAGGAGGAACTTATCGCACCAGAGGACTAATGGAACAGCAGCACAATTGGGAGCTTATTGATGGATTTACTACACCAATTAAACCTTCTAACCATGCTTTGGTGGCACAGCAACAATGAGACGGAAGGAAAGTCATGCTATAAGTATTGCCAAAGGTGCTATTTGCCAACTTTAATTGTAGTTTAAAGGTCATGTACGATAATCTCCTAAGATTCTATGCTTCTATGATTCAATGAAATTCTTCTACTGGCAGGCAAAGATCCTTTTATTTAAACATGTTGTTGTGTGCCTTCAAGTTGTTTCTGACTTATGACAATCCTAAGGTTTCTTAGCCAATTTCTTCAGAGAGGGTTATCCCTTCCTATTCTTTGAGGCTGAGAAAGTGTGACTAGCCCAGTGGGTTTACATGGCTGAGCTGGGATTTGAACCTTAGCCTCTAGAGTTATAGTCCAATGCTCAAATCACTATACCACACTGGCCCATGCCTTAAACATGCCTTATGCAATTAGCTGCTTACTCTGGAAGGGACTTTAAATAGACATTTCTGTACTTTTATCCACACAGTTATGCTTTAAACCAATGGTCCCCAAATTTGGTCCTCCAGATGTTTTGGACTTCAGTTCCCTGCTTTAAATTACTGCTTTTTTTAAATAAGATAGCTTATTTAATTGTTTTTAAAGCCCTTTTTAGTATTATGGTTAGATGTTAGCTGTTTTTTGTTTTCATTCATGCTGTGAGCTGCCTTGGGTACCATGTTTGAAGAAAGGGGATGAACATAAACTAAATTAAAAAATAAACGTTACTATTTTTACTACACCTGGCAACTAAGCATGCTGACTGGGAGGTTCTGGGAGTTGTAGTCTAAAAATATGCTCTGATCATTAAAACAGCTTTTAGGTGCAGCTGGAAAAAGTCTCTCTTTTGTATGTATAATGATTTGGCGGAGATCTAGGAGAATGATCTCATTCCTCTTTCTCCAGCAGCAGATCTGAGCTGATACAGACCCTGCCTAGTTGTTTCCTTCCTTCCTTCCTTCCTTCCTTCCTTCCTTCCTTCCTTCCTTCCTTCCTTCCTTCCTTCCTTCCTTCCTTCCTTCCTTCCTTCCCACAGTAATAAATGACCATAGAATCACCAGCTTGGCACCTATCATAGGAATGAGTTGGACATTGTGCAAGGAACTAATGAATAGCTCCTTGCACAACATTTTTTTAAAAAAGACCTATGCACATATAACTATGATTACATTCTGTATTTCCCCAACAGCAGTCCAGCACATTATGTAATTTAGGATTATTTTTGTATGTCATACTTTTTGCAACGCAGGTTTATTTTTTCAGATTAATTATCAGCTTAATTATCACAGTTGCAATAACTTCCAGGATTGATCCATAGGTAGTGGCATGATATAAAAAATCTCAAAGGAGTGTTTATTCTTCTTGCAGTAAGTTGCTCCTGTCTCAATAAACCATAGACTAGTAAAGCATAGACCAGTCGAAGGCTTTCATGGCCGGCATCCATAGTTTTTTTTGTGGGTTTTTTGGGCTTTGTGGCATGTTCAAGAAGAGTTTCTTTCTGATGTTTCGCCAGCATCTGTGGCTGGCATCTTCCAGTATTCTCTAAAGATGCCAGCCACAGATGCTGGCAAAACGTCAGAAAGAAATTCTTCTATAACATGGTCACACAGCCCGAAAATCCTACAAAAAACCATAGACCAGAGCTTACATTATTAGTTACTCTAAACACTTCTATATTGTCATTTGTCAGCAGCTTCAACTATCCCATTAATAACACCATTGGAATTAAAAGGTATTATTCCTCTGCAAAAGTACTGTTTTTTTCTCTTTTGCCTATGGTGAAATAGGAAGGAAAGCCTCCACATGTGCAGAAATTTAGGTTGTTTTTTTTATCACTGTGACCATATTTAAATGTTTTGTTAAAGTTTGTAAAGCCTTAATGGTTTCAAAGACTTTATTTTATGTTTTATTTTTATTTAGCTACTGCTGGTTTGCAAAAATATTTTTCAAATGCAGCTTTATTTTCCTCTGATTCCTGTCCATATGTTTTAACCTTGTGCTAATCTTCAACTATATTTCTATAGTATAATTCATAGCATTTGTAGAGTTATACGGTATTTGGTATCTTAGGGTACATCTACACTATAGAAATAATGCGGCTTGACACCACTTTAAGCGATGTAGCGATGTATAGAATCCTTGTAGTTTTAGCAGGTCTTTAGCCTTCTCTGCCAAAGCATGCCAGTGCCTCACAAATAAGCTTATCGCATGGCACTTAAGGAACAGGAACAGGAACAGAAGGGAAGGGAAGGGAAGGGAAGGGAATGGAACGGAATGGAGCAAAAATGCATTTTACTGGATGGGAGAATGCCACTGATGCCACTGGGAGTCCACAAGGCATTCCCCAGCCATTCCTGGCAGCCGATTTTTGAAGGACAGTTCAAAATCGTTCTTCAAAATCGGCTGCCAGGAACAGCTGGGGAATGCCTTGGGGACTCCCAGCGGCATCAGTGGCATTTTCCCATCCAGAAAAAATGTGTTTTTGCTCCGTTCCATTCCCTTCCCTTCCCTTCTCATCCTTGTAAGTGCCATGCGATAAGCTTATAAATTACAAATCCCAGGATTTTGTAGGATGTAGTCATGGCAGCTAAAGTGGTGTCAAACTGCATTATTTCTACAGTAAAGATCCACCCTTAGTTGAGTGTATCTCTTTTTAATAGGTTTTATATTAGGAAATATACCTTACACAGATATGAAATATAAAATAAAAATATAAAATCAAAGGAACACTATATCCGCCAACATTTCACAGATGAAGACTAGGACATATGTGGCCAAGCAACATCAGTGTGAACTGGACTGGACTCACTTTGCAGCAACTGAAGTAAGCTGTATAAAAATGGGGAAAGGAGGAGGTGGTGAGAGACAGGGACATTTTAAAAGGTAGAAAAGTGGGGACCTTATCTCTTCACTCAAATAACCCGGCTTACCTCTTCCAAATTGAAGTCTAATTCAGGAGGCAGCCAGGTCCCATTACAAGGATTTTGCTGCCGAAGCCACTGAGCGAGTCCAGCCCAGCTGCAGCCCATGTCCCAGGCATGCTTTGGCAGCCTTATTTTGAAACCGGGAGCTTTCCGACTTCAAAAAATGTGTCGCGGGGATCCAGGCTGCAGCCGGGCTGGACTCGTCCAACAGCTTCAGTGGCAAAATCCTTGCTATAGGACCTGGCTGCCTCCTGAATTAGACTTTAATTTGGAAGAGGTAAACCAGGTTATTTGAGCAGAGCGATAAGGTCCTTTGATGACTAAGGATTAAGCAGGACTGTCTCTGCCCAAGCAGGACAAATGGAGTGCATGCAGCTACCATACATTCAGATTTACACCTCGAGTCCCATGTTGGAAGAAAGTTGTGATACAAATTTCACTCACGTCCCTCCTTGCTCTCCTTCCAGTTGCAGGGAAAGACTTTTCTATTCTGATAGACTTTTAGAACTGAAGGTTTTTACGGACTGTTTTTTATGAACGTGCAGTATTGTTTTCAACATCTTTTTCATCATTTAAAATTAATCAGATCAGAGGATTGGGTCAGGCCAGGAGAGGTTATTTAGTAGTGTGGTGTAGTAGTTTGAGTGTTGGACTACAACTTTGAGGACCAGGACTTGATTCACTGCTTGACCATGGAAAGCCCAGAAAACACTCATGATTGGTTTTACGGTCACCATAAATTGGAACTGACTTGAAGGCATATAACAACAACATGGAACTGACTTGAAGGCATATAACAACAACAACAACAGTACTTAAGTATACTTCAATGTGAGTATTCCAGCCACAGTTTAAATTGTTTTAATCATGCCAACAATTTAATTCTCTTTTAATATTGATGTTTGTATGTTTTCAGCTATATTGTTTTAAATTGTAAACTGCCTTGAATCCTAATTTTAGGCAGAAAGTGGGGTTTAAATAATAATAATAATAATAATAATAATAATAACATTTATTTATATACCACCCAATGGTTGCCCAATCAGGGCAGTTTACAACATAAAACACAATTACAATAAAAAACACAATTCCCCCCCCTTAAAACATTATTAAACAAATAACATGATTAAAATCCATTAACAATTAAAAAAGAATAAAATCATAGTAATTAAATGATTAAAACATTCCACATTCCACAAATAATAACATAGACGTTCACCAGCACATCAAACAGGAGCCTGTGACTGAAGCTGATATAGCAGTGCAGTCATTTGGTGTGAAGAAGGAGGAGGCCCTAGCTAAACTCACATGCAGCATATGTTTCATCATGTGAAATTTCCAAACACTTCTCAAAACATGACTGCACATGGAGTGCATTGTATAGAGTAGATGAGATAAGGGGGATTCAAAAACTGGTCAGATCTGCCTTTTCCAGGACAAAACACAGTTCATGCTCCAGAACCAGGAAAAGCATCAATACAGTCACTGCTGTTCAGACCAGCAAGAGCCAGAACAATTCTTGCTGCTTCAGTAGCTGACCATATGCCTGTGCATAGTGACCAGAAGGGAATGGGGGCAGCCCAACAGCACCACTGTATTAAGCTCTAAGTCCATATGCCTGTTCTCCCCCCTTGTGTCTTAATTTATGATTGCTCAAAGGCAATAGACAGTATAACAAAACAGAGGAAAATACTTATAAAAAGGCTAAGAATCATAGAGTTGGAAGAAATGACAAGGGCCATCCAGTCCAACATCCAGCGTCTGTTTAAAAACCCTCAATGAAGTAAACCCCACCATGTTTTGAGGCAGCACATTCCACTGTCAAACAGCTCTTACTGTCAGAAAAATCTTTGAAATGTTTAAGTGGAATCTTTTTCCCTGGAGTTTCAATCTAGTCTCTGGAGCAGCAGAAAACAAACATGCTGCATCTTCAATATGTTTGTTTAGTTGTTGTTGTCTGCCTTCAAGTCTTTCTGAACCTATCATGGGGTTTTCTTGGCAAAGATTTGTTGAGATAAGGTTTGCCATTACCTTCCAAGTCACCCAGTGAGTTTTATGGCCCAGCTGACATCCCTTCAAATATTTGAACATGACTATCATTTCATCTCTTAGCTTCCTCTTCCCCAGGCTAAACATACCCAGCTCCCTGAGCTACACCATTGATTTTAATTCAGAAATCTCACAAACATGGGTACCCTGAAGATCTGATACTGGGTTTTCCTGGAAACCAGTTAGTGCGCATAAGATGAATATGCCTAAGCAACCCTAGAATCACAGGAAACTGCTCTGGATGTCATCCAATGTTATTCCAAGATATACTAAATTGTTTTGTGTATAGTACGTGTTCAGGAAAGTCAAGCTCCTGCACAAAGGCAAAGACATTGAAGATATGAGAGTAGACTTCATTTTGGCATGTATCTTTTCTTTTTTCAGAAAATGTTGCTTAACACATCAGTCAACTGACCACAGACTATGGAAACAAAAGAATAGAAACAACAGGTTAGCAAAGATTTTTCAAACAAGCTGTGCTCATTTAAAAACAGTGTTGTAAAAACCAGGGTTGGTTTCATACAAAATCACATTTAAAAACAAAGTGCAAGTTCAAAGAAAGCTTGAAACTGATTGTTTCATGAGTATACAATGAAAGTAATATGTGTTTAGCAATATAATTATTGGGGACTGTGCAGCTAATGAATGTTTCATTGTGATATTGCATATAAGTATCATAGGAGATTATCATATGGGGTTTATCCCATGCAGAAATGGGATTTAAAATGGGAAAATCCCTCAAAAGTGGGATCATTTTCACACAACCGCGAGCATTAAAAAGCACAGAAAGTGGACAAATCCTGCAAAAGTGGGATCATTTTCAGACTCATCGGCGCCATTGAGCATTAACACGAAAATAATCCGCACAGAAAGTTGACAAAAGCGGCTTATTTTGTCCACTTTCTGTGCAGGTTATTTTCGTGTTAATGCTCAATGCCTCCGATGAGTCTGAAAATGATCCCACTTTTGTGGGATTTTTCTGGGATTTAAATCCCATTTCTTCATGGGATTTAGGCACTTAGCCTCCCATGTGATAAACTCCATAGTCCTGCAAGATTTAGTAGGGGACATAATATTTTCTGCTTTTATCCAATGCCTAGAAATGCTACTTTTTTAAATGTTGGATCCCAGAATCCTCCAGACAGCATGGCCAGGTTTGGGGAGTTATAGCCCCAAAATAAATAAAACAAACAAGATTCATACTGTACAGGGACAAAGAAGCCACCCCGACGCGTCGGGAGGGGCTCTCAGTTGCGTCGGCCTGAAACGGGCTCAACGCATTCCGATTGGATGAGTAGCCCGGAAGTCCCGCCTTTCCGGGCTGCTCAACCAATCGGATTAGGCAGGAAGGGAGAATCTCGTGAGACTTTGAGTCTCGCGAGATTAATAAACGAGATTTGGGCAGGCTATATAAGCCTTGGCTGCCTCGTGGCCAGCAGCCATTTTGAGGGTTCAAGCGAGCAAATGTCACTAGGATGGGCAAAATAAGGGTATTGCCCTACAAATATGAATTTTCTCACACATACACACACGCAGTAACATCCTTGAGATCTGTAATTGTTGGATTGCAGGCTTTAAAGAAGTGATAAGTAGTAGCATTGTGTCATTTACTAAGAGTGGGCATAACTCAATTACTGAAGGAGTTCAGAAACTGGATATCCTATGCTTCTCTTACCTTCCTCCTGAGCAAGTTGTATCAAGGAATCTCCTCTAATGTGTTGAGAAGGTTACTCCCACCACAGTTCTGCATTGTTGCTACCACCAGGGGATGAACAACAAGAATGCTCATGACCTTCAATGCTGGCACTTCATACCCTGCCTTGATCCAAATGGCACAGTGGGCCCAAGTACTTTCATTCACCACCTGTACCCCCCAGTTTCTTCCTCTCAGTATTGTTTTTTTTTTTTTGTTGGTTTTGTTTTGATTTTTGGTGTGTGTGGTTTTTTGTTTTGGTTTTTTGGTGCATGCATGTAACACCACCTGGAAATGTGGTGAGCTATAGAGACCTGATGCCCACTGGGATAGGTCGAGATGATGCCCATGCTTTGAAAGCCACCTCATATATAAAAAACTTTTTTTTTCATCCCCTAGAACTACTTGCCCTGAGATTTAACTTGCTTCTTGGATTCGGTCTACTCAGGCTGCTCCCAGAGTATTCTGTCCCAGACTTGCCCTAAATTCCCTCTGTTACCTCCACATTCTGTAATGATATGGAGTAGCTGTCAACACATGTGTTCCACTGTGGTGCTGGGTACCACCACTGCTGCTGGCATGGGTTGCTCTCTCTAAGGTCAAAAACAAAGCGTCTGGTGTCAATCACATGGCTGGAGCCTCATTGTGACCTCAGAGGAAGCGGTTTACATCAGCAGCCATAATGCCGGACAGCAAAGTGAGACATGTGTAGATAGCCCATGTCATTCCAGAGTGCTCCAGAGAAAAAGGTAAGTCTCATGTGGTTTAAGGCAGGGATGGCCCAGATTCAATGTAGAATGAGCCTCACGTTGTGAAAGCAGTCTGCAGTTGCATTGGGGCTTTGGCCTTGCATCGTGAAGACAGATCGTGGTGAGGGCAGGAGGACACCAGTTCATTTGGCCCATGTAGACAGACCCTTGGAGACCTAGAGAAGAACAGCAATACCTCAACATTTTAGTGAATGCCATGATACTCAGCAACAGTCCCCCAAGATAGCCCTTTTATTAATAATGAAACTAAAAGCAGCATGCAAAGTTTGCTTGGGAGCTGTTCCTCTAGAATCAGTTTCCCCTAGAAATCTGTTATCCTTAACTTTGATTCCACTGATCACATACCCTCCAATATTTCACAGAGAGAGAGAGATACTGTGACCAAGCAAGATCAGAGTGTGGCCAAGATGATAAAAGTCATTGATGAGGAAGAACATAAAAGTTATGGGAAACTTCAGCAGTTTGCTTTTGCCTGAGTCTGTAAGAAAAGGCAAGATTCTGCCCCACCTGTCCCCACTGAAATAATTGAGTACAAAATACTTCTGTGCTTTGAACTCATTTTACAACAACTGAACTAATGAGGACAAAGGGGAAAGTGGAGGGGAGAAAACTGAGACATTTTAAAAGCAACTGAGAAATTGGCACAACGGAGGATTAATCAGGACTGTTCCTGCCAGATCAGAATGGTTGGAGGGTATATAATCATATTACATTCCTGAGTATACAGAAGCTGCATTAAAGTGTATGCAGCCTCTCTTTGTCTCAAGCTAGTCTTATCTATATTTGATTTTCCCTTCTTCATAACAGGTTTTTATTGATGTTGTTGTGATTGCTGTGTGCCTTCAAGTCATTTCCAACTTATGGCAACCCTAAGGCAAACCTATCATGGGGTTTTCTGGGAAAGATTTGTTCAGAGGTGGTCTGAGCTGAGAGTATGTGACTTGCCCAAGGTTACCCAGTTAGTTTGATGGCTGAGTGGGGAATTGAACCCTGGTCTCCAGAGTCATAATCTAACACTCCAACCACTACTCCACACTGGCTCTAGGTTACTTTTACAAGTGAGGCTAATTTATTATATTAAAAAAAACATTTTTCTACAAATATTTGGAAAGGGTCCAGTTTTTTTTTCTACATATTCTCAAAGAAAGCTTGTGGAGGGAGTATTTCAAGTGAAATGACAAATCCCTTGATTATTACTACTGAATGAGAAAGCTCTGGTTCCCCACAGCTAGTTATTGTGAGAGGATGGGAGAGGAATTCATGAATTTAGTTTTGAATTACTACCAGGCCCAAGTGATTGAACTGTTGGTCAAATACTACATTTACACCCAGTTTCAGCCCTGTAAGAGAGCTACTGCCCTTGTTAAACAAGTCAAAAACTGGGTTTTATTTCTAGTTTAACAATCCTTATAAATGCACATAAAACTATGCTGGCTAAACAAGTGAAATCTACCCTGCAGAACTCAAGCAATGGGAATTTGATAGGTATCGACACAACCATTCATTTGCTCTTCACTCTTTCACTGTTTTTTAATACCCTGGATTATTTTTAATTATTATTATCGACCGAGGCTTTCAAAATATTGCTGAGTGGTGACCTGCTGGGTGGAGGTGGAATTAAGAGTCAGCAGCATTTTTTAATGTCCTCATTTGTTTGGTATGTTCCTTTCTTTCACCCTAATAGCTGGGAAGATCACGCCCTTCTCTTACATTCCTCCTGAACAAGTTAGGTCAAGGAAAATGGAGGAAGAGGAAGTTGCCCCACTTACCCGTGTAGAGGAAGGTCTTAATTGGGTTCTAAAAAGACTATCATTTTAATAGCAATGACAACAAAACCCCAGCCCTTCCTTTGTTAATTCCAAATCTGCTCATGTACAGCTAAAGCATTTTTTAAAAAATCATTGCTCTCAAGGGTAATTTGAACCATTTTACAGCTGAAAGTGTGTGAGAGGGGTCACATTTCCTTTCCACAGCAACTATAATGAATCTATTTGAATTAACGGATGCTTACAATTATAGAGAGTCAGTATATGCTGGCTGATGGTTGACACTTTGCCCATACACAGAGGAAACTCCCCACCATCTAACAGAGAGTTCCTGAAATGCAAGGAAACTTCAGGAAGAAGAGCTATGGTTGCAAAAACAAAAAGCAAGCACCAGAAACTAGAAGAACCCCAACATGGGAAGATGTTGAATCCCTCCTAGAATGTAGAAACAAAGGCATAAGTGGTGCCAGACACATATACACACAGATTCAAAGTGGGTTCTCCTCATTGCTGGGCCAAAGTAGTTCCTTGAAGGAGAAACACTCATATAAGCTGTAGAAATAACCATAAACTCAAAATTAAAATAGAGCTGAAATCTTAGGTTCAGAAGCCTAATGAGTGGGACAGTGCTTCCCTCACCCCACCCTCTGCATGCCCATATGCACATCATCAAAGAAGAGAGCACAAACTTGCATAAAATCTGTGTAATTTAGTTTCTGTAACTAGATGGACACTTACAAATGATGGTAATGCTGATACTTGAAATGCAAGTTGGCTCGCCAGTTTAGCAGGCACTAATAGCAGGTCTGCATGCTGTTCAGCCTGCTAGGTGTTCAAGTGCTAACTGTCATGGGAGTTTATCACACGGGGAGCCCCGTGCAAAATCGCTCTTTAAAGTGGAAAAAACCGCAAAAGCGGAAGCTTTTAATGAACGGGATTTCTCCCGTTCTGCTGTGTGAAATGTGAAAGCGCTGTTAACAGGGAGGTTAATCCAAACAAAAACCCCTCATTTTTACTTTTGGGTTTTTCTGAAAGTAAAAAGAAGTGTAAATGAGGAGTTTATGTTCGGATTAACCTCCTTTTAACATCAATTTAACAGCGATGTCATGTAAAATCATGACCACTTTTGCAGTTTATTTCTACTTTAAAGCCCCGTTTTCACACGGGATTTCCCCCGTGTGATAAACTCCCTAGTGTAAAGGACTAGTGTAGTGTAAACTCCAGAGCCTCTGGTCTCACTTCTTATGGTTCTTTATCTTTCAGATATAACTTCAGTCAGAAATCCCTTCATATTGAGAAAACCTTCAAACAGAAAACTGTCTTCTCTGAAGAAACAACTGTGTTCATCCTTTCACCCTTCCACATTTCTCCTTCTGTATATCCCTAACAGACAGATGCATGAAAGATGGGTGCAAATCTAACACTGTGCTAGAGCTGGTATTGGAACTAGAGCTTAGAAACATTACTCATTATGCTATGGTAACATCCTACTAGTAACAAGCACATACTTAAAATGTAACTTGCGTACACAAATAGCTCTTTTTGGACAGGGCTCAGGTAGGTTTGCCCTTGCCCTCTACCCAAAAACCTCTGCACCAAAATCTATGTTGCTGCTGCTGCTGCTGTTTTTTCACTGATAAGAAAGGGAGAGGGGAAGCCAGTTCAGACCATCATGATACAGCTGCTCTAGGGTCCTGAGAGAAGGAAAAGAAGGGTGAACTTCATCAGTGAATATACCCTAATTTCTTTTCCCCCCTCAAGCTGAGTCCAGCTGCTACTTAACAGTTTGAATTTCCTTCTCCTTTCCTCCCCATAGTATACAGCAACAGCAACCCTTCTAAGGGCTTGATAGTTGCCAGGGGACAAAGTACACACAACTACATGGGTGAAGTTATAACCCAATGTATGATCTCAGTCAGAAACTCCCAGAAATTCCCCAACCAGCAGGACCAGAATAGACTATCAGCACTCTGGAGTATGTTTTTAAGGTGCACTGGCTGCAGGAGGGAGGGTTTTAATTCCATCATTAGAAGCAGCTTATGACAGCAGAAATATTCCACTGGATCCTGCCCTAGTTATATCTCTGTTTGACTACCTACCTACCTAGCTCTCCACCTGTTGTTGTGCCACAATCAGGAAAAAAATGGAGATCAATGTTGGACCAAATTTAATACATGTTAAAATATTATGTTTCTCTGGTAAGAATTTTTAAAGAGTCTTTAAAAATCCTTTAATTAGTTCCCAATCCTGGCCAAACTAGCACACAATAAAACATGACCTGATGCTGTGCAGTTTTCAATTCAGAATGCAGAAAGTATGTTTAGGCAATTTGCAAACACAAAAGGCGATGAAGAAGAGAAAGGATGCTCAATTGCTGAACAGGAAATAAAACCTGACATGCTGGTTCCTTACAGTCACTGCAAATGTATGAAGATTATATAATTCATTTTACAGCTCCCCAGAGTGCCTTCAAAGCTAACATGTAATAATATTGCAAACCCTGATGATTTAAATATTGGCTATTTGTGTGGTATAAATGGATGTACAGATGGTATGGATGGGGGGGGGGGGGACTGTGAGAATCTGTGTATGTCTGTGGAGAAGCAAGTCCTACTGGGTTCAATAAAGTTTATTCTCAGACTGCAATCTAAAGAGATTACTGTGGTGTAACTCTAATTTTCCCAGAGTGGAAGGTGAGAGTCAGCATGGCTTAGTGGTTTGTGTGGGATTAGGATTCTGGGAGACCAGGGGTTGAATCCCCATTCAGCCATAGAAATTCATCAGGTCTCCCTGCACTTTGTCAGATAAGCCTTGAAAGGACAAGCTTGGATAAACTTTAGATGTTCAGCAATAAATAAATAAATAAATATTAAATTATGCAGTTCCCAAGGAGGAAATTTGTCAAACTAATGAAATCAGAAATTGGATATTGTACATGTGAGAGCAACACCATGCACAGATATCTTCCCCAAATACAACAATTTATTATTATTATTCACCGGGAAAGCATAGGGCAGGAAAAGTAGGATTGTGTTGGAGATGAAAGAGATGCAGATCAGCTTATACTCAGCATGCATTGTTTGCATGGATGGGAGTGCATAAAAAGACATCTTAAAGTTGCTAGACTGTCCTTTGTCTATGCACTCTGTGCAGTCCTTCTTTCTGACCTTGAGTTGATATCCTTAAGGTTGCTAATGTCAGCAATTTGCTGCTAATTCCAAAGATTCTCATGCTCCTTGAAGGAGGAGAAGGCATCTTGGCTTTGTTCCAAGGGCAGGGAGTAAGCTCCTTGGCTCTAATTAGAATTAGTCTCTTCTTACCTTTCTCCTTCAAAGTATTTTAACTGAATAAAAGCTTTTATTAGATAAAAGATTAGGGTTTTTATTTTAAAAAGAAAAAGAAATCAGACTCAGTATGATTCCATCCCAAGGAACCAAAGAACTTCTTTTGACGATCTAATATTCAGAGAGGCTCAGTCCACCTTGCTATCCTTGGAAGCTAAGCTTGGAAGTTAGTCCTATTTAGTACTTGAATGGGAGACCATCAGTGAATACCACTGTATAGCTGTAGGCTATATTGCAGAGGAAGGGAATAGCAAAACCACCTCTAAGTAAGGAAACACATAAGTCAACCCCTAAGGAAACACATAAGTCAACAGATGGCTTGAAGGCACGCAAACACACACTAGATTGGAGGTGCAACTTAATTTAGATTTGCTGTAAATTATTGGTTCCGTTAAAGAAATTGTAGAGACCTATAGTCCTAAATCCCACTATTATAGTCTCAATTAGACTAGACTTATTGAATCAGTGAGGTTTGCTTATGTGTTGTTGGTGGACTACTAAACAATCAATGAGGCTACTCTAGTTGGAACTTGCCAATAAGATTTAGGCTACTGTCTTCTGTGGCAGAAACAAAATTGTTTCTTCATTCCCTCACATGATTCACTTATGATGCGGCCTTCTGGGCCCAGCATTATACAGCTGCATTGTACACTGCACCAATCAATCAATCAATCAATCAATCTTTTATTGATTAGCCCATTGGCCATTTCAAAAAGAATATAGCAAGATAAAATTCAAAGAGAGTTACACAAAATTAAAATTAAGAATGAAGAAAAATACATATAAAATACATATAAATGAAAATAAAATATAATATGATTACAGTAATGTAAAAACAATGTAAAAACAATACAATGGATACCATTTTCCTAGCAAGTAAAACAAAGAATAACATCAAACATCAGATTTCTTCATCGCCCCTTCAATTTA